TCACGGAATATCATAGTAGGATGAATCCTCTAACAGAATTTAAGATGTATATAATTAAATTAATCGGGAATTGTACATATAATAAATTCAATGTCTGGTAGAATTACGAATAAAAGTAAATAATAAATAAGGACGTAAATTAATAATCATAAAAATTTTAGACGAAAGTTATGAACAATTTTTTAATTTAATATTTGAAAATAATATATAATACTAATTTCATATTGATTAATAACAAAAAATTCGTATCACGTCAATACCGCGAAACTTTTACCGCGAAATGTATTATCGCGAATGTCGATTACAGCAAAAAGATATTATAGCGAATGCCCGCGAATGCATTATAGCGAATGTATCATAGCGAATATATTTGCGCGAATGCATTATAGCGAATGCATTACCGCGAAAATATTATAGCGAATGCATTACAGCGAATGTAATACCGCGAATACATTATCGCGAATGCATCATAGCGAATGTATTATAGCGAATGCATTACCGCAAAAACATTATAGCGAATGCATTACAGCGAATGTAATACCGCGAATGTATTATAGCGAATATATTAGCGCGAATGCATTATATCGAATGCATTACCGCGAAAACATTATAGCGAATGCATTACAGCAAATATATTATCGCGAATGTATTAGAGCGAATACATTACAGCGAATGCATTATCGCGAATGCATCATAGCGAATGCATTACAACTAACATTATCACAATGCAATAGTGATTTATATTTGACAAAATTATATTTAACCCATTTATTAAGTTCCTAAAAACCAGAGAACCAGCTTAATTGTCTATATTTATTTAAAGTAGCGTTTTAAAATTATTTACCTCTAAAACACATCACTTGTTATTTATGAAATTTGTATTTTATTAAAAAATATGTGGAATTTGGTATACTCAATTTTTTTAACAATTAGATTAAGTCGTTTTTTACAAAAGACCCTATTAATTAATATTTTATATTTTAAGATTGATTCTAGTAAAAGTTAATTTTTGCCCCAACAAGCCCCAAACCCCAGGCTTGTAGATTATATTGGTTTATTAAGTCTCCTATAGGATAATTGTTATTATCAATAATACACCATTTGTATATAAATAATTCATAAAAAATTTCAAAATGTGATATTATATTTTAAAAAATGTTTAAGTTTTAATGAATTTTTTAATTTTTTTTCTATTTCTTTTGATTATCAACCACCAGAAAAGGTGAAAGTTAAAGGGAAAAAAATAGTATTTAAAGCTATAATAGCCAATGAATACTTATTATATCATATTTTTAAGCATAATATAATTAATTCGACCTAATTCTACTAGCCCCTAGTTACTGAGATATGATTAACCCTTTCCAGCTCTAAAAAAATATGTTGATAATTTTTAAAAATTTCTAAATAAGATTAGATGAAGGGGAACATTGGATTAGGACCTCTATCTTATTAAATCTTTTGTAATCGTCAAAATTATTAATTTTATAGCTTTAAAACATAAAATCTTATCTTTTTTAAATTTAAACATTGTTAAATTTAAAAATAATAAATGCCAACTCCTGTTTCAAATATAAATCTTAAAATGATAAAAAATATATTTAATTATATATTTTGGTGGTTTCAATAGAGATGATATGTGAATTTAGTTCAAATTTAATATTTTGTAAGTTATTTTCAAATCATATTATTCTGCCTGAAAGGGAATGCCTACAATAAATATTTTTAAACATAATGATTATGAGACTTTCTGAAATGGGAAAAGAAGATTTTTTAATTTCATATTCTGTCTATTTAATTATTTCTAAATCTCACTGTGCAAATTGGTTTATTATTCATGATACGGTTTAAAACAATTTCAACTTTAAGAGAGACAGAAGGCCACAAATCCATATTTTTATGCCGTTTAATATTATAGTGAAAAACATTTTAATTATGCTTTAATATTATTTACTTATCTTAAATTCCGTATAAAACAATTTAAAATACAGAGAAAATATTCAAAATAACGAAATTTAAAAATCTAGGGCAGGGCTTTAAATAATCAGAGCTAAAAAATGCAGAAGAACACAGGTATATTAATTTATGACATTTATATTATTTATTTTATTACTAATTATGACATTGAAATATGTTAAATTCAATTTTGTCTGTACTGTAAAAAATAAATATTAATAAAAGTATACTAGAATCAAACTTAAAATATAAAATATTAATTAATGTATAACTTAAGTTAAGTGTTTGTTAATCTATCTCATGGTATTTAATAAATTCAATTATAAATTGTCAAGCTTATGATGATATAGACAAAAACGACTACTAGCCCTATTCCTACTATTGGAAGAAAGTTGATAATGAGATCAAAAATTTTGATTATTTACCGGGCGGCTAAAAAACGTCGCGTTTTGAAATCTTATTAACTCCGAAATGTGTCATTCGTTTTTTATGAAATCTCCTGTCTTAATATTCTCAAAATATATAATTTTATAAAGTGGTTTTTAGAAAATTAAGATAAAAAAAATGTAGTCGTACATATATATTTTTAAAGATTTCCTTTAATTCATAAACTAACATAAAAACAAAATATTTTAAATTTTATAAAGTGGCTTTTAGAAAATTAAGATAAAAAAATGTAGTCGGACATATATATTTTTAAAGATTTCTTCAAATTCATAAACTATAACATAAAATATTTTGGCATTATTAAACAAATCTCATTATTAAATACCACTAACAATATAAACATACGATAATTTTCTAAATTATGTATTTTATCAAAGATCTGATAATGATAAAATTTTGACATGAGAAGAAAAATTGGAATCAAGTTTAATTCCTGAATTCTCTAGGAAAAAGTGGAATATTAATCCAGTTCACCAAGCTAACCCCATGGTTATCATATAACTCATCAAGCTCCTTTTGTTTTTCAACTAAGATTTTATCAAGCAAAACCATAGATTCGTAATACGAATTCCACTAGAATTTATCAGATACCTACATATTGGTAGACATTTTTTGTTTGTTCCACAAAGTAAGACACTTTTGGAAAGAACTTTGGATATTCTTTTATGTTATCAGCTAAAGCTAAAAAATTTCTGATGCCCATAATTAGGGGAGACCGGTGTTATAATGAACCCAGGGTTATAGTGAGAGTGGCTTTATTTTCTAGAGTATTAAACTCTAAGAGATAATTTTTTACCAAAACTATATACTTATATATTGCATATGCGGCTATAATTTTTATTTCTATCGGACCGCTTGAAGAATTTTTATAATGCTTTATATCATTCGTACCTTCAAAAGTAACTTTTTACACTTTTACTATTTTTTAAAAATAAAGATTAATATACAATTTTACCACACAAAAATTATCTTATATAAAAGAAAAAAATCCTATTTTATAGAATAACAATTTACCCGAACAAAATTGATAATATAAATACTTCAAAATATGATCTTAATCAAAGTGGTGCTACTGGGGCTATTTTTATGGGGTTAGGTCGAACCTTTTTTTTTTGCTATTTTTAAAAAATTTGACATGCAAAAAAAGCCAAGGAGAGACCAACTAAAAGAAAAAAAATCGAAAAAAGGTTATTATATGATAAATAATTGTTTGGTATACAAATAAATTATATCAAGCATAACAATCAAGACTGCTTTCAATGTCAGTTATTAGTTACATGGCTTTGCAATTTTATTGTTTTTTTATTTGCAAAGATTGTGAATGTTTTAAATGATTTTATATAACACTTTTATGTTTTAAATCATTAAATATATCCTAATAAAAAAATATATAACTTTTATATATGGAAAATTAAGCAGAGTTTATAATAGCCTTGACCAAGGGCTTGTTCGTCCCTGGGTAGGGTTCACTCGGTTACCAAAAAAAATTCCAGGAAAAATGATATTTTGAAAAAATTATTAGAGATGTATTTTTGAAATTTAAACATATCATAAAACTAATAGAGCTGAACAAAATGAGATATTTTTTTATTAAAAATGATAAAGTACTTATAATTTTCTTAAGGTTTGCCATTAGGGTTCGCCATTACCCCGTTCTCCCTTACAAGTTTTCAATAAATTAAAAAGAAAAAACATGATGTTTAATATTTAAAATGATTAGATGAAAAAGAGAAATCTATTTTATTACTTAGAATCTTTTTTATATATTTTAAGTCAAAAAAAAAAAAAGAAAAGCCTTAGCCTTAATTTCAATAAAAAAATGTTTTTAGAGCCAATCCCCATTTTAACTTAATTTTCAGATTCAACTAAGTCAGTCGAAAAGTCGATAAATATAAAATTGTAACTTTCATGAAACTCCATTCGCGATATGATAATGCATTCGCTATAATGCATTCGTTATAATGCATTAGATATAATGCACTCGCTAAAATGCATTCGCTATAATGCATTTGCGATAATTTATTCGCTATAATGCATTCGCTATAATGGATTCGCTATAATGCATTCGCTATAATGTATTCGCGATAATTCATTCGCGGTATTACATTCGCGCTAATACATTCGCTATAATATTTTTGCTGTATTATATTCGCTATAATGCATACGCTATATTATATTCGCGATAATGCATTCGCTGTAATGCATTCGCTATAATATCTTTTCGCGGTAATCGATATTCGCGATAATGCATTCGCGCTAATACATTTCGCGCTAAAATTTTCGCGGTATTGACATGTAACCCAAAAAATTATATCATTTTATAGTTTAATCTTTATAAAATTTTAATAAATATAAAAATTTCTATTTAAAATTCAAAGGCTACCAATTCTTATTAATTACAAATTTTATTTTTTATAATTATATTTAATGTCCTGGATATTATGTCTGGGAGAGTATTCTGTCCAGTCACCTTAATATATATGAAGTGGGGTAGTATTTAGTATAAATGCAAAAAGTATTAAAGCTAATACAATATTCTATTATTTATTATTATTAACCTTGAAATTGTTAGTTAGGCTTAGGATAAATTGTCAATAAACCTGCACTACAGGTAATTCCGATTGCTTCATAAATCCGTGTCCTAATCTCCTTAATGGTGTCTTGAATCGTTACATCAAATGTCATCTTTATAGATTGTGATTTGTTTTGAATGTCTATAGAGTTGGCAAAGATTATAATTTTTTTTTATAAAAATCCAAAAAAACGATATATTTGATTAAATTGGAATTTTTTTAATTTAATTATATTAATAATAAAAATAATTATGAGCAATATGGCCCAAAGGAAAATACTTTCTGGAGTAAATTTATTAATCGATCATGTAATCATTTAATTCTACATTTGACTAAAAAATATTTTATCAATATTTAATGCATCTACCCATTTATAATAATATTAATTCAATATATCCTGATTCGGAGTAAATTTTATTAATTTTAAAATGTTTGATTATTTTAATTAAACTTATTTTAAAAAATGGAATTAATAGTTACACTTATAATTTGTAATTTAATCTGTCAACCCTAAATATCTACTTTCTAAAAAAATAAGTTTAATTGTAACTCAAAAGGTGGTATATTTGAATTTTATTTTTAAATATATTATTATCCAATAGATAAGGAGTAGGATTGGCATGATTAAATCTAATTTAACAATTTTTTTATGTAAAAATCTTGATAGTATTAATTGCTAATTTTTATTATTATAAATGATTTTATGATGTGTTCGTGAAATTTGTATAAACTTCAAAATTATTTTAATATTGTTAAAATTTAGGGGAATATAAAAATCTCTATAACTATTTTGCCCAGTTTATATAATATTGATTAAATATTTTGTTGATTATGATTAATTTAGAAGCATTCTATAAATATAATGCTAGTTTATAAAAAATATTAATTTTAAATAATCGAATATTCTTAACAGTAAAATGTATTTTCTATGATATACTTAGAATGTATCAAAATTTTTACAAATGTGCAAATATTAAATATTGATAACACAATAAAATATTTTTATTCCTAGTTTTACAATGGTTTCTTCAAAAATTTCATAGGAAAACCGATGTTTAATTTAATAAAATGACTGCATGTTTGATAATAACTTTGTCTAGAGAGCTATTTTCCCCTAGTTCATATTTTTATATTATATTATTAAATTTGATTTAAATTTCAGAATGTGATTTAAACATAAGTCATACCTAAATGAAATTCATAAACTCATTCACCGAACTTAGCTATTAAATAAGAAACTTGCAACCACTACTATTATCTTTGAGATAGAAATCTGCTATATATACAATATCTTATTTAACAAAAGATATAAATAATTTTATCCGTTTAATAATTTAGTACTTTTATATTTCTGATCGGCCATAATGCAACCAGGAATTTCGTAACCATTTTTGTGCATTTCCGCATATTCGGTAGTTCGCCTACAGCAGCAAGTTAAAAAGGCCGAATTTTGAGGGGTCGCTGATATAGTGGCATCTATGATATTTAAAAAAAATAGTATCTACATAACTTTCTGGATCTTGGTAACAAAGTATATGGTGCATAAGTTAAAAAGATGTGCATTTGGGGATATGTTTACCCGATTCATAATTGGAAGTGGATGGGAGATCGGTGAGGGATACCTTTTGTGAAGCATTGTGACAAAAGCATTGGCATATGCGTGTAAAGATGAAAGTTCTTTCTTCTAGAGTTAAGAAGGTGCGTTTTTCATTTAGGTAAGGCGTCAAATTTAGGTAGGCCTCGTCTAATCCCCCCGAGCTAAACTTGGAATCATAAAGGCTTAAAATCTGTTGGAACATTTTAGATGCTTGCTTATACTTGTGAATATTGTAATGAATAAATTGGAGATCAGGGCAAAGTTTCTTGCCTATGAATCCAGCCATACCAGCTCGAACCCCATAACGTCTGGCAATGTAATTTGATGTTGACTTCATTCAGAAAATAATGTATTATAAGGATTGAGGGTTTTAAAAAAATGAATGGTAGATAAAAAAAAATTAAATTTGAAATTTATGTCTAAAATATATTCTTTATTAGATAAATTTAATGTAGAGTTCTTTCTAACATATTAGTCAAGTTAGATGGTCTTTAGATAAACAAAAATTATTAATTAAATTATAAATAATGACTTAAAGGGTAAAATAATTAGCACTGTTCTGGAGCCAATTAGCAGATGTTAAATTTTTGGAAACAATGTAATAACCATAGTTATATTTAATAAATATAAATTTTATTTGGGTATATTTATTAAAAATATTTTTCATCTTTACACAAGGATCTTCATTCAGATACTAATCAAATTTATTTCTGTCTTTATCAGAATTTAATCTGAAATCATATTTTTACTATCATGTTTAGATTTTAGCTGCTGGACATCAAGGTAGAAATTTAAATTAGGGCAATGAACATTTAAAATGTATAAACATAGTGCACTTCTTTATTTGTGTAAAAAATGTTCATGTGGCCAGGGCAGAATTAAATCATATTCATCTGAAAAAATAAGTACTGTTGACATTAGAGGTCTGCATTGGGAGGGTTTCGGCCCGCCCGCCTATCTAAGTGGGCGGGCAAAAAAATTTTGAAATTATGGATGGGTTGGTTAAGAAATTTAAACAATGGGCGGGCGGGTTAAGGAAATTTAAAATTTTTGTTCAAAAACAAGCTAAAGAAAAATCTAATTAAATGATCAATAACAATATTTCTTTTTTATTCTACCAATCGTTTTTTTTAAGTGAAGAACAATTTACTAGTTTTTCGACTCTTTATCTAATTGTTCCCATCATATATAATGTCTCGTAATGGATTTCATTGATGTAATACCCGGATGTCCCGTATGCAATATATGTAAAACTCTTCTTTGAAGTACGGAATGATTAATCTGTCATTACATGAATACCGTCATCATTTTCTATTTCATCTATTCTTGTTCTAAAAGCTTGTAATTCTGGTGCTTGATTTTGTATATTTGTACCATTTATTAATATTTTTACTTTTCTTAAAATTGTATCTTTTGTGGTTTCCTCTCTAAGTTTTTTTCTTGATAGAGTTAATGTGTCATAAGTAAGATTTCTTATATATTTCGCTGTTTTATTTTCGCTTGTTATTTGCGATAAAGCATCTGCAATTATATTATTAGCACCATTCTAGTATATTATATCATAATCATTTGCAGATAATTTATAAGCCCAATGTAATAATCTTTGTTTTTTAATGAGCTTAAATCTCTGCAATTACCATTTAGCTTTATTAAAGGTTTGTGATCTGTTCGTATTTTAAATTTTCGTCCATATAAATAGTTATGAAATTTTTCTACGCCGTTTATTATTGCTTTTGTTTCTTTGTCTATTGTAGAATAATTTTTTTCAGCATCTTGTAAAGTTCTTGAGGTGTAAGCTATTGGAAATTTGTTACCATTATCATATTTTTGCAACAGCTACAAATCCTTGGTTAGATGCATCTGTTTCTAATATTAACTCAAGGTCCGGTTTATAAAACTATATAGTATTTTGTTCTGTTACTATTCCGAATGTATGAAAACGATTACAAAAACAGCACGGTATTTTATTTTGAGATGGCAGATTAATCATTCCGTACTCACTTCAAAAAAAGAGTTTTACATATATTGAATACTGGACATCCGAATCTCATTTGAGGAAGAGGATATACCCAAGCGAATATCCCACTTTGGAGGAAACGACAGGAAAAAGATTTGCCAAAGCTATCAAGATTAGCACGAAAAATATTGGCAATTCCTGCAACTAGTGCTTCTTCTGAAAGGAGATTTAGCATTGCTGGAAGGTTTTTAGAACAAAGATGAACGTGTTTGAATCTAGAAAATGTCTATTCATTATTATTTTTGCAATATATTTACATATAATATCAATTTTAATTTATATTTTTTTTATTAAAGATTTCCTAAATTATAAACTTTTTGTAGAAGTGTAATGCTGAAATATTTTTATTAGATGCTTAAAAATTGAAAGAATGGCCATAATTAAATTTTATAAGCGGGCTTGGGTTAAAATTTTTATAAATAATGGGCGGGCGGGTAAAAAATTTTAGACTAATGGGCGGGCGGGTAAGGAATTTTAGACAAATAGGCAGGGCGGGCGTGTATATATTTTTGAAAATTATGGGCAGGCTGTGGGTGCGTTAAATTTTTTTTAAAACATTGGGTCGCCCAATGCAGACCTCTAGTTGACATATATTCTTTATAAAATAAATTATAATATTAGAGAATATAAATTAAAATAGTTTCATTGATTAAATTTAATTAGACTTAGAATCCTGACTGTATAAAACTCAACAACAAAAATATAAATAAAAATGAAGAACTTGGTGATTGATTTGAATTAAACTCGGTTTAAGTTATTTATTAAATTTAAAACAAAATATAATATATAATAAAATTAATATTTTCCATATTTTTTAAGAAATTTAAAGTTTTGTGCTACCTCTAATAAAAAACGTGTCACTTGTTTCAAGTAACAAATGGTGTAGCTGTTAGTAACAATGTTGCTTTCATCAACGTAATTTTTATTTAAACTAACATACCTAATCATGTGTGGTCTACCATAAAAGGGTTTATTTTTTTTAAATATTTGATATAGTTATAAGACTAAATTAAAATGTTATTTATTGATAATATATTTTATTACGAGAAGCTAAACTAACTTAGCGGAAACCCAGGTGTAAGTGATATTGAACTAATTTAGGCATGAAAATTTTATTTTAGTCCACTCAGTTAGAATAAAAAACTTAATTTAGTGTAGGTGTTAAAAAAGTATGATATAGATCCCCAAAATGACTATTGTTAGCCATTTGTGGTGCCTGCATTTTTGAATGGGTTCCAAAATTAAATCATGTATGTTTCTAAATTTGTGTTAAAAAATAGAGTTTTATGGTTTATTAAAATACCTAAGTGTAAAATATAATGGAAAAAGATTATAAAATATTAAAATCTCTAAGGCCAATACCATTCAATATACAATGTGATGCCTTAAAACTCTAGGAGGTATTTATAAGAAAAACTATGAGCAATTAATAGGTATTTTTAATTAATAAAACCAGATTGTGGTCATGTGAAAATATTATCAATTAAAATGAAGGTGATAAGTTACACATTTGTTTAAAATATCAATGTAAAAAATGTTTAAATGGATTCCACAATTTTGTTAATAATTTTATCAAATCTAGTGAATCTCCTCACTTTGAAACCATTGGAAAAGCAAAAAAAAATGACCAAACAATTAGTTTTAATAATACCTATATAATAGATATTAATAAATAAAATAATAGATGAGAGTGGAGTATATAGCAAATTTAAGAATATCCATTTAGTTAGTAAACCTATATTAACTTTTGTCTCATAATTTCTAAAAATCTGGTTTAAAAATCAAAGGCTCATCTAGACACATGTTTGAATACCAATTAATTTGGATTTTTTTAAGATTATTTTCAAAATTGTTTAGCAATTAATACAGATATATAGTAAATAATTATTTAATAAAGTGAATTTAACTTTTGAAATTTATTTGGGGAAAATATTTAAAATTTAGCAAAATTGCTATCTATCTATATATATTGAGTAATAAAAATTAAATATACAATCATTTGCATTGAACCAATAGCTATAGGTTTCGATGTTAAAGTAGGATTGTCTCTCATCTCAACAGCAGCAAAAAACGCATCAAGGTCTATATGTACTATAACTTGTGATAAGTCTTGCTTATTTCTTAAATCTTTAAAAATCTTTTCCATCTTCCTAATGTTTAAAATTTATGTTTCAATATAAATATACTTTCAATTTCGCAGATTCAAATCGAAGATTATCACATGTTGATAAAAATATATGCTGATTTAAAATCCTTTTTTCAAGAATTGTTGCTCTTTTCAATTGAGTTTCATAGTATAACGATCCCAAAGATGCTTCTTGAATTTTCTATGTGGTTGATAAAAAAAACAATTTTAGTATAATAGAAATACTTTATTAATCTCCTCTTTATCAAGAGATATCATTCCAGCCTTGGTATCGTCCAAATTCAAAAAAGTGTTCATTATTTTTAATGAATGAATCAATTAAAACCACGCATAATACTTAACCGGCCAGCATATTTCAATAATAATTTAATAAAAGGAATGCTCATCTAAATTTTTTCCTGTCTAATATTTCATAACCTACGGTCCTCAAATAATATTGTTTTATCAAATTATTTATCAGCTGATATTTATAATAATAAAAAGACTTATGACGAATTTTCGTAAAAATAGGTAATAACCAGTTACGATGTGCAGTGTCTACATAAATGGGGGGGGGGGGGGGGGGGTAGAGAGTAGACGCTTTTAAAGGGGTGGGATAACTTTTTTTAGATGAAATAAGACTGTTATAAATGAGATATATTATATATTATTAATCTTATTAATGTCATATGCAAATCAATCATACAGTTTTATAATATTTGTCATGTGATAGAATACTTGATTTACATATACATACTATAAAGAAATTATATATAAAATATATTCAGGTACTATATCATTGGGTGCCTCACTAGCCTTTATAATTTCAGGATTCTCAACTTAAAAAATTTTGGAGTTCTTCGCCTCCATACCCATTTTGCGGGCCTTCAAAACGGTTTTGCCAAGCCTTCGGCCGGGTTTTATATAAATATATTATACTTTTGTAATTGAAATTTGCAAACTCAGAACAATTCTAAATTTTTGTCATTTATTATGCATACAAATAATGAAAGTAAAATAAAACAAGATATTAAACAAAATATTTTTTAATACATAACATTTATCTATTTATTACAATATTAAATATTTTCGATTACGGGTATAAAAAAATTTTGTGTCTAAAATACAAGTGATAAAAAAGGTTAACCTCTATTGATAATGATTTTTAAAACTATACAAGGTAATTGAATTTTTTACACGCAATTTGTAATTCTTAGCTAACTACATTGACAAACAGTCATATAATTAATATAATGTTGCATAGGCGTAGCCGGGTGGGGCAAGGGAAAATCCCCATCCCTTCAGAAATTTATCACTTTTTGTCAATATCATTTTAAGTTAATATAGAATATTCCCCTTAGCCCCCCCCCCACTCTCTGACCCTCAAAAATGTATGCATATATCTTAAACAATAATTTGAAAGAAAGAATGTAAAAGTTGATATTTTTTTCAGGGATGTGAACCCTTGGACAAAAAAAAGGATCCAGGTCCAGGTTTGGGTACAGGAATAAAATTTGAAAGGACCCGAGTCCAGGGTTCGGGTCAGGATAAAAATAATGACTCAAAATAAAAAAAAAATTTATTCATTTATTATTATATTTTGATATACATATATTCATAATTTACAAATTCAAAATTTAAAAAGATATAATTTATATTTTAGATGTTTTATTCTCGCACAATCATAATTGTTGTATATGTCTTTTATTTTAGTCAGCGTCATAAAAATTTATAATATTATTTTAGTCATCGTCATAAAAATTTATAATATTTTATTGAGTCATCGTCGTAAAATTAATATTATTTTCATTAGTCATAATTATAATGAAAAATATATTTTTTATTTGATAAATAATAAATTTGTAAAAATTTAAAAAATATAAAAATCCTAAAAAAAGGGAAAAATCATTCATTAATTTTTTATTAAATTTTTTAAAATTATTATTATTATTTTTTTTTTTTAGTTGTTTCCGCGGTTTATAGATTATTTTATATTTAAATTTGTGGGAAGTATATTTTGATATTAATAAAATAAAACAAAGAGTCCGAATTGTGTGTTACATTTTAAAAATTGTGTGTAATAAACTTAAAAGTGGTGGCCAAGACGTAGTGTATGGGATAATAATTTTTTTTAAAAAATAACGTTGAAAACCAATTAATAGGAAAGCGTTGTATATACGGAATAACGTTGAAAACTAATTTGTAGGAAAATCGTTGTATATACGGAATAACGTTGAAAACTTATTAGTAGGGAAAGCGTTGTATATACGGAATAACGTTGAAAACTAATTAGTAGGGAAAGCGTTAGATATACGGAATCACGTTGAAAACTAATTAGTAGGGAAAGCGTTGTATATACGGAATAACGTTGAGAACTAATTAGTAGGAAAAGTGTTGTATATACGGAATAACGTTGAAAACCAATAGGTAGGAAAAGAGTTGGATATACAGAATGACGTTGAAAACTAATTAGTAGGGAAAGCGTTGTATATATGGAATAACGTTGAGAACTAATTAGTAGGAAAGGCGTTGTATATACGGAATAAGGTTGAAAACCAATTGGTAGGAAAAGCGTTGTATATACGGAACACCGTTGAAAACTAATAGGAAAACGTTAGAGGATTGTGGAACACGTTTTTTTTACAAAAATACACCGAGTGGCCAAATTACACAGAAGTGCTGCCCATTTTAGTCGAAAATTATTTTTTTTAAAAAGAAGGGTCCTATTGTACGGAAGTGCTGTCCAAATTTTACCAGATACGGAATTTATCCACATTTTTGTCATATTAACCTGTTAAACGGAAGTGCTGCACAAATTTTATCAGTTATAAATCTGTTACACGAAATTTGCTCTAATTGTTGTCATATCTAGACTTATAAAGTGTGGATGTGTATGTGCATCATTGGATTGTTTACGCTCTTAATAATATCATATCTGCTGACATTGCAAATAACCAAGATTTTTTTTTTGAAATTATAAAAGATGAAAAAAAAAAGTTTTTTTTATCCCCCTCTTTTTATATGGTTAAGATGAAAAAGTTTTTTTAATCCCCCTCTTTTGTTTATGTTAAAGTTAAATAAAGTTTTTTTTAATGCCCCTCCTTTGTTTACAATAAAATGAAAGTTTTAAAAAAAAGGTTTCTCTTTTTGGTCCCTCTCTTGTTTTAAGTTAAACACAGTGAAAGTAAAACATATGGCTTTTGTGTTTTCTCTCACTTTACTGGATATCTTACTTTAGGAATCCTCAGTAAGGTGATCCGAAAATATGAGTTAGACCGTTGGGTCCGGGAGACCACCCTGCATCCCAAGGTATATTTTGAGTTTCGGGAAGAATAGGGGGTAGGTTTTATCCCCAATTATGTACGATAAAACTAACACAACTCGTTTCCACAAAAACGTTCTTTTTTTCACTTTACGCCAATTTAATTTTAATTTATAATTGCGCCTTTTATTTTCCCTATAAAAGGGACGAATTTTTTATAGTTTAGATATACTTTATTTTTTTTCCGTAAAATAATTTTGAAAATCATTACATACTTTTTTATGTTAAAAATAATTTTGAAAATCTTTATTAAATAAATTATTATGACTTCGACCTGATCTCAAAATCATTTAAATGAAGTGTCTCAAAATTCTTCACTGGCGCCCTGATTGGGGCTCGAACCCAAGACCGTTAGGCTTTCCGATGATATATAGAAAGGTATACTATTTCTAACTTACTGCGGACCAACATTATTTGCCAAATTAAAAAATACGTTCTATCCAGAGGCAATAGAGACCCAAGGGTTTCTAAAAATTAATCAATCAATCGACAAATTCGCCGAACCGCCCCCCGCTACCGACTAAGGAATCGAATTCAACATCTCCACGAATCGATAACCCAATACGCAGAAGCCCTGGTCGAAATCGCCCACAATTGCGATTTAAAGGAGAGCCACGATTTATTTATGGCTACCCAATTTATGTCTGGCGTTTATTCAACAGTAATAAAACGCAAGTTACTATCGCTACCCCCTACTCAGTTCCAAGAGTATGTGGAAATAGCAAAAACCGAGGAGCTTATCGAATTCGAATCCTGGTCAACATCAGATGGAGGAAATTATGATATTGCCCCACATCAGGATACTTATACACACCTAACATTCAAGTCAAACGCTAAACCTACCCATAGAGACAATTATCCAACCAAAAATTCATCGCATTGGACGCAATACAACCAACAACAACAATACCCAAATCACTCCAACAATTCATCTTATGTGCCCCCGTATCACCAAACCCCACAATACCAATATCCCACAAACAATTCATCTTAATGGCCCCCATATAACCGACAACAATATCAAATCCCCAAATGCCTTAATTGTGAACGAATAGGTCACCTAGAGCGAAATTGTCTAAGACCCACCATACAACCCGAAACAAAAAAAGCTATAACAAACAATGTAGTAAATGCAATAGAACAGCTGGAAAGCTATCCTTTACATCAGCAATCACTAAATTATTTAACTATAGACGATAATTCCCCAAAGGACCCCCTTCCCAACCTCTCATCCCTAAACATCAACCATGTTATTCTAAACCCCATACCCAAGGCTTACCACATCTCCCTAACAATTAATGAGATTCCAATAAAAATGGAAATTGATACGGGATCGCCAATAACTATCATAGGAAAAAATATATACAACACCCATTTTAAAAACCATAACTAAATCTATAATACAATTAACTTCATATTCCGGTCACTCCATTCCCATATTGGGCGAAATTAAAACCTGGTTAAAATATGATCAACAATCTGCTTTCAAGTCAGTATTAATCACCGACAATGATAATAAACCCATTATAGGCCATAGGAATTTTCCCCTCAATTATGTCCAATATATCGGCCGAAACAAACGCTACCAAACTAATAGCCAAATTTCCCAATATTGCCGACGATATTCTAGGGGAATTTCCAACTCCCATAGACGTACATCTAAAACCAGAAGCTCAGCCCAGATTTATCAAACCAAGACAAGTACCCTACGCCTATAAAACCCAAGTCGAAGAGGAATTAAATCGATGGGAGCAAGCCAAAATAATTGAAAAGTGTGGATATAGTCCATGGGGATCTCCAATTGTCCCAGTAACCAAAACAGACGGCACCCTCCGACTATGTGTAGATTATAAAGTAACCATCAATCCATGGGTCAAAAACGACTGTTATCCACTTCCCAGAATAAAGGATATCTTTGGCCAATTAGAAGGAGGTACTTTATTTACAACAATCGATCTTAAGGATGCCTATATGCAAATTCCAGTTACCTAGGAAACAAATGAAATCCTAACCATAAGTACACATCTTGGTC